AATTCCTCATTCAACTATCAAGCCTTCCTGTTCAGTCCCACCATAAGACAAAAAAAAAATTCCAAATCCATTTGTTCTCTTTCTCTCTGCTCCTTTCTGCACGCAATAGTTCTACAGCACTCCAAGAGCTTATCCCCATCTTTTTAAACCCCTTCCAACACCCGTGAATTTGGGGTTTGGTTCTGCTCCAGCCTCTTATTGATCGCTTCCCATTCCAAGACACCTCCTTGGTTGTTCCACAACTTTTTATGGATTCACGCAGTGATCGCTGTCAGAAATTGATCCAAGTTAAAAACAGACACATTCTTTATTTTGTTGTTTTTTGTCCAGTTTGGCCAGACAGTGCGACTGGGGGTGGAGCAGGGCCAGCAGCTGCACCTGCTCACACTGATGCCAGAAGAGAGGAATTGATACCGGTGCCCTGCTTATAGAGCAGAAGGAAAACGCATTTCAGCTTGGGTAACTCCAAATTACCACTTAGTTCCTAATATGCAAGGAGTTCCAGGCCTGCAAGTCAATGGTTTCTAACTTTCAGTAGGCATACCCACAGAGCTCACAGCTCTGGGCCAGCAGCAACGTACTCTTCTCTCAGGGAAGCACAAGATGCCCAGACTCTCCACACACATGGGTGTACTATCCACAGAGTCACCAGGCACACTGCAATTCCTCCCTTCCCTAGCAGGTGGAAGGACCTCCTCACACACAAAAACCAAAGAAAAGAGCGAGTTGGCAGGCACAGGAGGGCCAGCCCAAACACTGCTGGTCACTGGCAGTAGCTGCAGTGAGAGCAAAGGAAGCAGGAGCAGACCCCTGGCAACAGCACCAAACTGGGACTTGAGAAATCAGGCAGTAACACTTTAATCTTTCACGGTGGAAACTATTCTTGCATCAATCAACTTTGTGAAAAGGGATCACTGGAGCCCAAGTTGAGTATTGGAGTGGGGTTTCTCTATCCACTCCCTCAAAACACCTTGCCATTTTGCAAAACATGATGGACCCATTCCTGAAGACTTCTGTACAAGTGTGGAGGCTGTAGTACAGGACAGCACTAGGAACTTCAGGATTTCAAAATTTATTTGGCAAGGGTGGGATCTAAATGTCATCTTCTCAGCACGTGGAGCTTTGGAAGATATTTGTGTGTGAATAAAGGAATTTCACAGAACATTTCAAAAGGAACTTTTCTTCATAAATGCCTTTAAATTGCTGCGATATAGCAAGCATCATCCAGCTCAGTAACATGTTCAGAAACTCTAAAGAGAAAACTGTACACAAAATTCCTCAGGAGAAGATTAAAAGCAACCAAAAAATTCACTAAGCACCTAAGGATTTCCACAAAGTCTTGATTCAGAAGGAAATAAAAATTAATAAAACACTATATTTGTGAAAACATTCAGACACCACACACGCCAACAAATAGAAAGCAAGTTCTGCTCTGTGAGCAGTGACTGAGAACTCAAGTGTCTAGTACCCTCTAGAAAGTCATGTGTCACTAAAAGAACAATTTTATTTTTCTAAATGCAGCTCAGACCATTAAAACAAAATGGAGCTCTATAGCATAGGAGGAAGCAACCAGTAAGGGCAATAGAAAAGAAGAGCCAAGAAGCTTAAGTTGAAGGCAGAGGTTACCACATCCAAAGACAGCAAACAGTGAGCAGTGTGAGCCAGGGCTGCTGCACAGCACGTGAGCAGAGGACTCCACACACAGCACTGACCTGTCCTGTTCCAGCAGACACTCGAGAGCAGCACTGCAGGGAGCCAGTGGCTGTGGCTAGCTTCCACCACCCTGTGCCAAGGATGGAGGGGCAGCCCACTGCCCAGTGCCCAGACACAGAGATCATACATTTGCTCTTTGTATCATTAGGATTTTCTCTGGATATTGATGAAGTAGGAAATATTACCACTGTAATGTAAGCTACTAATAGACACCTATGATTGCAGCAAATTTTTTATTTCCACAGGAAATACAGACTCAGAACAACAGCAGTTAAACAACAAGGTAAGTAGGGGTAAAACCTGCAATCTCAGGAACCTCTGTCCTACCCTCCTCTCTGCTCAGCTCTACACTTCCACATATCAGAATCAATTTATTTCCTGCCTTGCAGCACATCACAACATACGCGACTACATCTGTAATCCGACACTAGCAAAAAGGGGGATACACACAACTGGTAACAGCTCTTCTCTTAACATACCACTGGAAGTGCACCCACACAGTTGTGACTGGTTGAACATAAAACATATAAAAAACCATTCCAAAACCACACTATGCTTCTACAGGCTTGTGAGCTCTGGTGATTGTAGCAAGCTTCTTTTCAATAATAAACTAAAAAAAGCATCAACTAGGGCCATATTCAGGCCATCTAAATTCCCCTGAAGTTGTATACCGCACAGTGGCGAAAGCCAAGCGCCTTTGAGCAGTGACTCAGCAGCCCACAGTAGGGAGGAGGGAGCCACCTCTAGTCATCGGCGACTACCAGGTACAGAGACTGCAGTGACATTTTTTAAGCCATCCTGATACTCCTCAACACATATTCCTCCAGCCCCTGCTTCTGCTCTATTTCTCCACTACTCTTAACTTCTCCCTTTCATCTCAGAAGGAAAATCAAACTTGTTCTTTGGAGTGAACCCACAGATGATTTGACCATGATAAAAATGAACAAGCAATATAGAAAAAGTACCACCACAGCTACTACATGGACCAGTAGCTGCCCAGGCCCAACAAAATATCTTTGCTCAGTATGGTGTAATGCTAGATCCTCAGCAGGTTAACAATAAGCTGGGGAGGCAACACTGACATACAAGGATCAGGCATTAATTATTCTAGTTATTCCCACATATCAGGGCATTTTTTTAAAGGCCGTGTGCTTTGCTGAGCACTTTGACTGGAGATAGGCTTCTCACAAAATAAAGGCAAGATCTGGGCATATGCTGAGGGTAATGTGCAGGATAAATGCTTTGGAGAGGGTAAGGAAATGAAGGGATGGTAATACGGGGAACATGGGCAATGGTCAACATTTCAAATACTTGTTAATATGTGTACCAACACACCCATCCTGCCTTCAGCAAAAGGGAGGGCCTAAGAGGCTCAAGCATTTTATTATCACTTTTCTCATGCTGCACAGACTGGATTGACCTCAAAAGAGTTACCAGTCACTGGTGCCCTATAAATCAGTCTTACAAAGCCCGGCTGATTCCTTTCTGTCTCTACAGTCAATTTAACTTCCATGTCAGCTCCTCAGGGACACAACTCTCCAAGCTTGAAGAGACAGATCGCCTGAGGTTGGGAAACCTGGGGGAAAGCTAACACACTGAGTGTCGGTGGGTAGCTTCAGTACGTTTTCATTAAAAGCTTATGAAGCTTTAACTGAAAAGCCAAACAGTAATAGACATTATTTAGGATACATAATAAATATTTCTTGAGCTGAATTAAGAGTTAATTCACAAAGTCAAGAGGATAAAGCTAGGATTTTGTACTGATTCAGGTGAGGTTTGCACTCTTTTCTTTTTTTTTCTTTTAAAGCAGCTGCAATAAAAACTGAATGATGTTTAGGAGAATTCTCTTGATTCATCTACAGATGTGACCCAGAAGCAAAGCTCCCACAGTCAGATTAATTCATGACAGAATGGAACATGTGGAAGGATTTTTAATAACTTGAGGCCTTATATAAGCCCTACACTTTAGATTTAAATTAAATAAGCAATGTATGTAAGTGCTTCTCTATCTTCTTTGTTTATTGTAAACAGTCTGCTGCTCCAGACCAGAAAAATCTGAGTTCCTCTTTTTCAAATTTGGGATGAGAGACTTGCAAACTTGGAGCTCTTTTCCTCATCCAGCATACTTACAGAACCACGTCATGCATGTCTAGAGAAGCAAGAGTAAGTCCCTCACCGCAGCACCCTGCCACTCCTAATCCCAACCACTGCTGCTTGAGGGAAGAGTTG